ACTCAGAAATGCCATTTCCCACCAAACCCCTCTCTTTAACTACATCACACTTCTTAACTCCTTCCTAGCCTCCTTTAATTTGCTCATTTATTTTGGCTTTCCTGGAAGCCCTGAGATGCTGGAGGGCAGAGTCAGGCAACCATATCACTAGGCCAAAAGGGGAAAACAGCTGGGGCTTTCTGATTTGTAGCTCTGTTTCATCTCCTTTGAAGGAAAGAAATTTTATAGAACTAAGCAGGAGTAAAATCAGCAAAGCTAATAAAACTCTAATCCATAAACAATAACTCTGAGTAATGAGTGTGCACTCAAATCCCCCACTTTCGTTTCTAACCTCGGGGCTCTCTTATGCTTAGACTGACAGCTAAGATAAAGCTTAAAACCTAATATACAATATCTTATCTATCTGATATGTTAGTTGTGGAACCAACTCCAATCCTTGATAGAAACAACAGGTTCTCCTTACTCTCTTCCTTCAACGAAACACTCTAAGAATGAGCATCATACTAGACTCCAGTCCAGGGCCTAGATTACTCAACTTCTCTGACCTCTTTAAAATAAGGAGACTGGATTTCAGGAGTTCTTAAACTTTCTGTGTCATGGAGCTTTGAGGCAGTCTGGTGAAGCCTACGGAACCCTCCTCAGAATAATTATTTTAAATGAATAAAATAAAACGCACAGGATTACCAAGGAAATCAATAATACTGAAATAGTTATTTTAAAAAATTTTAAAGTTCACAGATCCCAGGTTAAAAAAAACACAGTAGGTGATCTCTAAGATTCCTTGCAGCTCTGATGAGCTATCAAATTATTAATTGAACAATAATTACCAAAAACTATTATTCTTCCCTCTCATTCTTGCAGAGATTTTTGCTGATTTTGTTCTTTACATTTCAAATGTATCATTCCCAGGAAGATCAATGGGCAGCACATGGGAATCCTTGGGTAGATCAGTCATTTGTAAAAGGAACTGATTCATTCTAAGCTGCATTGAAATTGCTGTGAGCATCAAATTGCAGGTACCCCACTACCACAGGAGTCTAGCACTGGCCCAGCAAGGAGCTCACTTTGCAAAGCCATCTTTTATATAAGTTTTAAGTTACAGTTGGGGTGATGCAAAGCCCTAGAATGAGTGGCAGAACAAGTTTTAATAAGCTTGTCCTGCAACAAACTGGGAAGGTCTCATGCTGACACCCCTATAGTAAGATTAAGCACCATGCTTCATCAGGCACTAAATACTAACACAGGTCCTCCAACATCAGTGGGAACGTTGATTAAAAGTGATGTCAATAATTTATGAAACACAATATGGTCTTCAGATGCTTAAAGAAGAAAGCGGGGAAAACCCAGAAACCCAGGTGGTGAAAAACTGCTCATGCATTTCCCCTTGGATGTACACCCCCACCATGCATGGATGAATGCAAATGCACACATGTATAAAAGCATGAGAACACACTGATACATATGGGCGGAAGAGAGTATTTAGTTATTCCACTGAGAGCTGTCAAGACTGTAATGTTATATATACATAGTCTTGTCTTTTGCATTGTTTTGAATTATTTCTGGGAAGAAATTCTAAATAGAATTTAAAATAAATCTTGCCTTTCCAAGAGGACATGTTTATACCATAGAGACCTTTACCTTGAAACAATGCAGAAAAGGAGGCAACTAACATGTACTTCATAACAACACAAAAAATATTGTGGTCCTATTTCAAAAACTTATTTTATCACATTTAAAAATCTTGAAAATATATTAGTGTTATTTTTATTCTGATCCACAAAGAAGATGAAAATATTAAATCTTTAAAAATTTGTTTTTTTTCATAAGGGAAAGAAAGATGAACTGCATAGAGGTCAGGGTTTAATCTGTACCAAGACAGCTTTCTGGATATTTAAGTCTCACATCCCTGTGGGTTCTATTCTTTCCTAATTCTTTCTATTCCTTTTGCTCAGGATATGCATATACTGGATAAAATATTTCAAAAGTATGAATTAGTTTCACAAGACAGAATTATGATGAAAACAAATGTATATCACAAAATTAGTATTGCAAAGATTCAGTTAATACTTCCTCAAGAAGTCACCTGTCACACACTAATTCATTCACATAACTCCATTATACGTTTTATTGTTTAAGGGTTTTTCATTTCTGTAAAAAGTTCAACCTTTAATTGTAAATTCATTGAAAATCACTGCACTGGCTTTATTTTTGTAAGATGATGGAACAATCACCCAAATTCTAGGTTATTTTCACTATTGAAAATTTATAGTCCCTTCAACATTGGATTTTAATCTACAGAACACCAGAAAACTGACTGAAAGGAAGTGTACATTGCTTTAATATTGCTTCAATATTGCTTCATTAGCAGGAAGGCAAAATAATTGTAAAGATTTGAAGTTATTTTAGCTATTAAAAATTAGAGAGAAAAAAATCATTACAAATTAGAATAGCTACAATGGATATTTCAAGCTGCATATACCAAATGCAAACCAAAAAGGCTTAAAAAAAAAAAGTCAAGCTCATTTGGAATGTGATATGGACAGAAATACTCAGTTATTTTGCTTAACCTTTTTTGGTTCATTTGTTGCTAATTTAATTAATTAGCTGACTGATCAATTTTGTCAGAATGTTCAATCCAGTCTGTGTGAAGGCACTGCTTTTACGGTGAGAAAAAAAAAACTTTTAAATTACTGAATTTATTTAAAATGCTACTCTCATCATTCAGACACAGATTATTTCTCCATAGATAAAAAAGCATGTTGAATTTCTGGCAAATCTCATCAGTACTGATAGTACAGAAGGAGCCAGCATTCGAGTCCATCAAATTTTACCCCAACGCCAGGCTAGTTTAACTAAATTACACACTTCACTTTGTCCGTGGGAACCCTGCCACAAGACAAAATGATGTTCCACATATATGTACAAAGTAGAACTATGGACTTGTTAACTTCAGTAAAGAGATTATAGAAACACCAAACACCATCAATATCCCCACCCTCAATGCCACGAAAGAAAGAAAAGAAAATGCACATTTCTAAAGGACTAGAACTCAAAGAGTGGCAGATCGAAGAAGATCCCAAGACCAAGACACACATGTAGATATTACCTCTGCACAAAATACGGACAAAGAACTTCATACCTTTTCTAGTTTTGTCCACCAAAGGAAGAGAGAATGAATACCCACAACTACAAAGGTGGTGTGTATTCTGTGCAAAAATAGATGACCAGTAAACTAAGGAAGGCACAGTTTCCTCAAAACCAGCTATCCCAGATCTTGACCTGAATGTTCCAGGCTTTTTTTTTTTTCCAGGAGATTGCTCAAATGACTGTGTCTACAAGTAATAAAGCACAAACTATTCAACAATGACATGACACAATTAATCAAAACCAGACCCCAAATGGGTGTTCATGGGGACTGAAGAATTCTGTGGTGTGTCTGAGAGAATGCAGACATAATGGGAGACCAGAGACTCCAAAAAAAAAAAAAAGGAAATACAAAAAACTGTAAAAAATACACAGTTTGATATAACTTTCAGTCTTGACTCTAATTTTTATTCAACAATTTTTAAAAGATTACATCCCCTTAATATGAGGGGGGGAACTTAAAATATACCTTATATATTACTATTTTACAGATTTGGAAATTGAGGCATGGATGTCTGCAGTTAACAAAGATTGTGTGTACCTGTAGAAGTCAGGATATCAATTTGGTGTCAGACATTAGAAAGAGCCTTTGTTTTAGCTTCAATTTTAGCCTCAAAGTTTTCACAGTCATGAACTTTTGCCAGATTTCTCTTCTCACAGCTGAAACTGTGAGTTTTACTGGTAAGTGAGAAGTTTAGGCCTTGATTATATCAGACCTTGGTAACTTCCCAGAACCCTATTTGTTTTAGTTTGGTTGGAGGAGGGAGTTATATTTTCTTCATCCAGTTGAATTTTCAAAATAACTCCTGAACTCTCTTTTCTGTTGCACTTTGCCTATGTAGACAGTAATTAATCTGAATTTCATCATGTTTCTTCCCTGAATATAAACATACTGCAAACAAAACAAATTTCGTTTTTTAAAGGAAATAGACCAACAAGCAATGAATTAAAAGGTAATCTGTACCAGGTATAGACCCAACAACAAACTAAAAAAAAATGTTCTTGACTGTAATTGTTCATAGGATTTACAAACTGTCTCTGATTTCTCATGTGGCAAATGGAATCAAAGGCAAACTTGGTGAGGCCTAGAATTTTTTTTCACACCCCCACACCCCCAACCGGAGAGGGGAGTATTCAACCCATTACTCAAATGGGGGTCGGCACTGGAAAACATTGATGTGTTCTGCTATCAAACCTTTAGAGTCAAATAGACGTAAAAGTAACACAGGCATTTACTGGGGTAAGTGAGGGCTCATTAAAATCGGGAATTACTGAATAATTCCTATGGTGGAACCCTTGCCTGACAGTGCTTATTTCTCTTCCTTCCTGTCTTTCCTTGGGGTTTTGAGTAGGTTCAAAACTTGACGGGTACACACACACACGTGTCAAGTAAGCTTCAGTGAATTCCGTCCAGTTCCTCTTCTCGTGTCCTAAGGGCCCTAGTTTTGGATACCCCTAGCCTGCAGGCATCTGATCCTGACGTCTTTCACCTAACCTACAAATTCTACCTCACCTTGCGCTCCCGAGCTCTGAAGGTAAAGCGCCCCCGGGTGGGAGCGGGAACCGGTCCCAGGGACCAGAAACCTGCGACCTAGATGAAGGCTTCTCGGCTCTAACGCCAAGCGCGCAGTCCACTCCATAGATGATTCCCTGCCCCTGACAAGGTGGAGGGCGCAGCACTGTTCCCACCCTCTGCACTGGCTCTCCGGCTCTTCAGATTCTAGATGCTCCTCTCCCGCCCTCAGTTGATTTTTGCATCCTAGGTTACCCGACGCCGTCCCTCCACTTTGCTTCCTCCCATCCCTAACCCAGGCCAGAGCCCCAAAGCTCCCGACAGCAGCCGGCGCACAACTCACCCACGCACTCGTTGGCTTCCCGGGCCGTGGCCCGCTGCCAGGGTCGGTCGTAATGAAATGGCTTGCAGCGGTCGCACTCTGGTCCCGCCGTGTTGTGCTTGCAGTCGCACACTAAGCTGTCGTCGCGGTCGCGCACACAGCGGGCCGCGTGGCCGTTGCACTTGCAGCGGCCGCCCACCTGCAGGTCAGAAACGGCGTAGAAATAAGAGTCCCGCGCCAACTCTGAGTCATCTTCGTTCTCGTCGCCAAAGGTATGCAGCCGATTGAAGGCCACGCGGATGTCTGTGGCCGTGACCCAGTCCTGCAAGACTGGAGAGTTATCGAAATCGTGCGCAGAGGGTCGCCCATCCAGCGTGCTGAAGGCAATCAGACCACCGGACAGCGGGCGCATGTCTGTGTGTGAGTCGGTGCATACAGCCTCTTGCTCGTTCTGCTTGGTGATGGGAGCCCGATGGGGGCGGTTATACATCTTGCGGCACTGAGTAGAGTAGAACTGGAAAGGAACCCAAGTGCGCCCGTAGTCCATGGACTTGTAGATTGCCATGGACTCGGGCCTTGGTGAGCAGAACTGGAGGCTCACGTAGGTAACCTCAAACTTCTTGCCCAGCGAGAGAGTGAGTGTCACGTTATGCGGGAACTGCAGGTAGTTCTCAGACTGCCAACAGGTCAGGTTGTGCGGGTTGTTGAGGTCAGTGAGGAAAGTGGGCGGGTGCGCTTTTTTGGGATCAGAAGCGTTGCAAAGGTGGCAAGAGCGCAGCCGCTCCTCTCCGCGCTCCACCACCACGCAGTAGCGGGCCGGGGGTCGTCCGCAGGTGCTGGACACTTTCACATCCTTGCCGAAAGCCGAGTTAACGAAATCTGGGATGCAGCGGCGGGGATGCCCATTTTCGTCAGAGCAGGGGTCAGGCTGTGCCGCCTGGCCCGCGAACATGCTGAGCCCCGGCCCCCCGCGCACCGCTTCCACCAGGCACGCCACGGCCGCCAGAGCTGCCAGCGCCTCCCATACCCTGCGCATCATGCTGCGTCCAGCTTGCCTCAGGCTCGGCTGCCGACCTATCCGCCCACCTCGTAAATCGCCTGTGGAAAGAGAAGAGAGGGAACCCGGGCTCAGTGAGGCGGCAAGGTGCCCAGGAGCCCCAGGCAGGGAGGTGAAACCAGGCGCCGACCCCAGGGAAAGGGGAAGCCGGCGGTCTATAGCTGAGATCCTCCCGCGGATTCACCCTCCGGACCAAGGCAGGAACATTCCCCAAGCCGTCCTTCCCAGCCTATTCCAGTTTTGTCAGGATCTTGAGAAGCTAAGTGGCCCCTTTAACCCCGAGGAGCAAAGCCCCCCGAAGCTAGCCCAGGCCCCCTCCCCCACCCCGAAAGCTCTTCAGCCAGAAGCGCGGCGCGGGGGAAAAAAGGTACCGCGCAGCCCCAGCAGCTAGGGGCATCCCTCCTCCGCACCCCGCTATCACGTCCGCGTCTTTGGTCGAGGAACCCGCGCACGGGACTTTACCTTTGTAGAGGGGGCAAAAGAGAAAGAAAAAGTTTGGATGGCTCCGGAATGGGAGCCGCGTCTGTGGCTGCGGTGTGCTTGGAGCCCGCTAGCGGTAGCGTTCTCAGACCGGGTTTGCCGGTTCCATGCCCTGCGCCTCAGCTGCCCTGCCTTTAGCAGTCCCACTCTCCCCGCCGCCTGCTCTGTGAGTGACGCGACCGCCCGGATACCGCCGCTCCCGCCAGAGGTCAGAGTTATGACACTCCCCGCGCCTGTAGCGCAGGCACACACACACACACATACACACACACACGCACACACACACGCGCGCGCGCGCACACATACACACACACACATTCACATACACACACTCGCAGCACTGAAGGCTTCGCTGCTGTGGCGGCACGGGGTGGGAGTCGTGGGCGGAGGGAAGAGCGGGGAGGGGAGGGGGTTGAGAGGGAACGACGGGCGGAGCCGGGAGAGAGGGGAGGTGGCCAATTAAACTGTCCCAGAATCTGACTACGCTGTTGCAGCAAAGTTTTAAACCCCAGGAAAGAAGAAAGTTATAGGGAACACTGGAGTTTGAAAGAGAGAAAGAGTGAAACAGAAACCCAGAGAGAAAGAGGATGAGAAAAGCATAGACCTAGAAAGAGAGTCAGAAACAAAGGAAAAAACGAAGTCGCCCAAGGGAAAAACAACAATAACAACAAAACCCTAGCTGGAGGGAGCTAGAAGGGGACCCAGGCTGGTAGATGGATTGTTATGCCCTGGATTATGGGTGTATCTATGGGTGTGTATCCATTTGTATGTTAGAAAAATGTGAGATGGATATCCTCAAAGATTTTGATTGATCCACAAAGTGCAGGACCTAATGTCATAGGATTTCAAGCTGAAAGTGACCGTAAAAGATCATCTAGCCCAACCTCTTCGTTTTACAAATGAGGAAATTTGAGTCTCAGAGGGGCTAAATTATTGACCAATGGTTAACACAGGTTTTTCCAGATTGACAACGGAATGATTTAAAGAAATAAAATGGGGGTGGAGGGGAGAGAGAGTAATGATAATTTTCCTGTTCTTATCTTCAGCACATGTGTTCTCACCTCAGCACCCAATAACAGGGCCAGTGCAACCAGTGCACAAAGCAGGCACTGTTTGATAATGATAATGATTAGGGTTCAAGAACATACCATCACTCTTTACTCAAGTTGCTGATTGATGCTCAACTGCTACCCTCCGACCTGTCCCCCGACCCGCACCCCTTGCTTGTTGTGTATAACGCCGGTAAAAATGAGGGACGTTTTAAGTGTTGCCTCTGTGTGTGTCTGGTTTACAGTGTATTGTGTGAGCACGATTGCTGTTTCTCTCAGAGAAAGTAGTATATGAAGAGTGACCAAGGCTGAGCTGTGGTTGTGGGAGAAAGCTAGATCTACAGATGACTAATGTGAGATGTCTGTAGGTAGCAGTATGGGGAAACTGATCTCTAACTCCAATATTCTCTTTCCTGACTCCACAAAGGGTCTGAATAGTGAAGTTGGGATTGTTTTAGGATAGGGAAGCAACTGAAGAGTGGATAATATCTAGCCCGCCCAACAAAAGGTCTCTCTTCAACCATCATCCCCTTACTTTCCACTGTTTCCTAAGGATTTGTGAGGATTGGATTCAACATGTATTCATTAATGGTCTACCATGTGCAAACCACTATGGAAACTGAGCACTGAGACTTAAGGGGCCAAAGGTAAGTTTTGTCCAGAAAGTTCCTCTAAATCAAATAGTAGAGGGGAGTGGGGGTGGAGGAGAGTTGTTAATAATAATAATAATAATTAATAATAATAATAATAATTTATGGGACTAAGGACTGGACCTTTGGTTTTATTAGCATTGGAAACTCCCAGTGAAGAAACATCATCTAATGCAGGTCTGCAAAGTCTCTTAGAGAGTTGCCTAGAGCACTGAGAAATTACGTGATTTGTCCCTCAGCCACAATGTGTCAAAAACTGGATTTGAACCCGTCTTCTTAGCTCCAAGGCCAGTTCTCTATCCATTATGTTAAGATGCCTCTTTTTTTTTCAAGCTGATGTTTTTAAAGTGTGTTTCATTTACAAAGTACATTACATACTTTATCTCATTTGATCCTGATTGAATTCAGTCCTCATAAAGTAGTGAAGGTATTATTGGACCTACTTCACAGGTACTTGCATAAGAATATAGGATTTGGGAGCAAGTGGCAGTGGATGCTCACAGGCCAAGAAAGTTTTTCAGTAAAAGAACTCCCTCATCAGTGGCTATGTGGTGAAGTGGATAGAGCATGTGCCCTGGAGTCAAGAGGACCTGAGTTCACATCTAGCCTGACTCCACTTACTAACTGTGTGACCTTGAGCAAGTCTCTTAACTCCATTGCCCAAAAAGAAAAAAAAAAACAACTCCTGGGAAGGTAGGAAAAAAATAGCTGAGGGTACACTGTGGCCCAGAACTCACTGCCCTTTGGTCCATGTACATGTGTGTATGTGTAGGTATACGTGCATGTATATCTAACTAATATCAGAAGACCTGGATTATAACCACAGGTCCATCCTTTATTCAGCTGTGTGGCTTTGGGCAAATCACCTCAGATCTCTGGGCTTCTGTTTCCTTATCTGTGAAGTTGGAAGTTGGAGAGAAAACATATGACATCCAGTGTCCCCTCTTACTCTAATGTCCTATGATGATTCAGTGGACTAGTCTAGCCCCCTTGTGATGCCTCTAGGGATCATAGTATTTCAAACTGTAAGTTCTAATATCATCTGATCTAAGTTCATCCTTTTATAGATGAGGCCCCAGTTCACATAGTATTAAAACTGTAATCTGAACAAAGGGATTCCTACTCCAAACACAGAAGTCTTTCCATTATACCATTAACCGAGCTGGCTTAAAGCACATGTTCTTTTTCCTTGCTTTCTTCCAATGAGTCCACTGTGTTCCTTCAGCTGCCTAGCTTGTAAGGTTCTAGCACATGGGAAGTTTGTTTGGCAATTCTAATCCAGTCTGAGAGGAAGGAGGGTGGCTAAGCTAGCTCTCCCATATTTCTGGGGGGAGTAAAGTTGTGAATGGCCTTGGAAAAATGGTTGTTCAGTAGATGGGGCAATCTCAATCAATCTTGTTGCCTAAAAGGTCAGTTTATTCTTAGAATCATCCAATATAGCCTAAGGTATGCATTTGTGTGCCCTCAGAAAGGACCAAAAATTGTATCCTTGAAAATTTCAAATTGTATTCTTTGTGTATTACTTCCTACCAGAGGTAACTATATTGTAATATGTTTCCTACATGTCATGGAAAGTAGAAATTTCTGGCATTAAAAATATGTGTGTTCGTAAGAAAGGTAATATTCAAAAATATGCGTCCATGGGTCCCACTGTGTATTGCAATCTAGGTGGTTATGGCTACCTAACTTACTTACCCTTTGTCAAGTTTTGCTAGCCTGTTTCATCACCTTGCTTCTTTCCTCTTTGCTTTTCTCAAAAAGACTGAGAAAAGTAATAGCAGCCTCTTGGATATTAAAGATCTCTTAGCAGGGAAGATAAAGGAAGGGACCTTAGGGGCCATCCACTCCAACCCATATATGAAAGGAGCACCACTATAATGTATCCAACAAGTGGCCATCCAGACTCTGCTTGAAGACCTCCAAGAACAGATGACAACCCTCCCCCCCACCATATACACACACACTCATTCCACTTTGGAAACTCTAATTCAGACCTTCACAAGTTGGCAATAGGTAGGGGCCAAAATTAAAATAGGCTAAACTTCTTCAGGTTGCAGATGGGTTTTTAGTGGCTCATTTTCCAAGTAAAGGTATAATTTAAAAAAATTTTTTTATTAATTTATTTTGAGTTATAAGCTTTTGAGTTTTAAATTTTTCTCCCCCTCCCTCCCACCTCCTTCCCCAAGATGGCAAATCTGATATAGGCTATACATATACATTCCTATTAGTCATATTTTCACATTAATCATGTTGTAAGGAAGAATTGAAACCAATAGGGGAAACCACAAGAAAGAAGAAACAAAACAAAACAGAAGGAAAAAAAGAGCAAGTAGTATGCTTCGATCTGCATTCAAACTCCATAGTTCTTTCTTTGGATGTGGATAGCATTTTATATCATGAGACTTTTGAAGATGGTAAAGATATAATTAATGAACCATTTTGCAAATAAAGCATATTTTTAAAAAGGAAATTTCAATTAATATCAATTAATTACACTTATTACTTAAGATTTTTATTCATCATGAAATTGGTTCTCTCAGACTAGAGACAGACTGACAATGGTTGGTTGCCGAGGGTCACATGACAAACAGGAGAGAGTGAGCAGTGGCAACACACCCTCCAAGTTATATGATGGGCATCATAGTGAATAGTAGAAGTTGGGTTAAGTAGAGCACAGACAAAGCACTCATTACATCTTTACTTTCTTTTACATCCTCAACATTTTTTTTGGGCTGCCCAAAATTTTTTGGCGGGTAGCCCACAGGCCATATGTTGTACAGGCCTGCTCTAATTGTTAGGAAGTTTTTCCTGACAACAAGCCTAATTTGTCCTCTTGGAAACTTCCACCCATTGCTTTTGGTTTTGCTCTCTGGCGACAAACAGAATAAACCTAATTCCTACTCCACAAGACAGCCCTTTAAATACTTGAAGATAGCTATCATGACCAATCTGGATCTTCTCTTCTCTGGGCTAAATATCATAAGTTCCTTCAACCAATCCTCATATGACATGGTCTTCCATCATGTTGATTGCCTTCCTTAGGACACCATCCAACTTATATATGTCCTTAAACTGTGGTACCCCGTAGTAAACACAGCACTTCAGATCATTCAAATTTGATTGGAATGCTTGGAGTAATGGGAAGCTTACTCACAAAGCAGGCCATTTCCTTGCTAGAAGTCTAATTGTTAATAAATCCTTCCTTATATGAAGTAAAAAAAATCTGCCTCCTTCCACCAGAGTGAGAGCTGCAGCACAGCACAATTATGCTCTTTTTCACATATGACAACATAATATAACAGAAAAAGCACAAGACTTAGAATTAAAAGACCTGGGTTCAAGTTCTCATTTTGCCACTAACTCAATAAATATCTTTGGCTCATGACCAAATCTTTTTTGACTCAGTTTTAAATCTATAAAATTATGGAGTTGAATTAAATAATTTCTAAAATTTATTTCAACTCAAAAGGTCTCCCTCTGGTTTTCAATATTTGAAGACTCTTCTCTTGCCTTCAACTGTTTTTCAGATGGTGAAAATAACTTACTCCAAGAATCAGAATAGATTCAATTAGTGATACA